GGCACGCCTTTTGATGGCACGCCTTTTGACAGATTGGGCACACCTTTTGAGGGCATGACTTTTGAGGGCTCGATATCTACATCCATGTATATCTTTTGGGCAGCCTATATACACACTCATACAGTGTCTTCTACACCGGTCAGCTTTATCAATTCCTTTTCAACCTCAAATAGGTTTCTATCTTCACACCTATTTGAGTTTGAGGGGGGGTTATACACAGTATCATGTATAAGTCGCCCATGGCGCACTCCCTAAGTCACCCCCTTGGTGCACCACCACAAGCTTCTACAACGGTCCGACATGACCCCATAAACTGTCTTCTACAACGGTCCGACATGACCCCATAAACTGTCTTCTACAACGGTCCGACATGACCCCATAAACTGTCTTCTACAACGGTCCGACATGACCCCATAAACTGTCTTCTACAACGGTCCGACATGACCCCATAAACTGTCTTCTACAACGGTCCGACATGACCCCATAAACTGTCTTCTACAACGGTCCGACATGACCCCATAAACTGTCTTCTACAACGGTCCGACATGACCCCATAAACTGTCTTCTACAACGGTCCGACATGACCCCATAAACTGTCTTCTACAACGGTCCGACATGACCCCATAAACTGTCTTCTACAACGGTCCGACATGACCCCATAAACTGTCTTCTACAACGGTCCGACATGACCCCATAAACTGTCTTCTACAACGGTCCGACATGACCCCATAAACTGTCTTCTACAACGGTCCGACATGACCCCATAAACTGTCTTCTACAACGGTCCGACATGACCCCATAAACTGTCTTCTACAACGGTCCGACATGACCCCATAAACTGTCTTCTACAACGGTCCGACATGACCCCATAAACTGTCTTCTACAACGGTCCGACATGACCCCATAAACTGTCTTCTACAACGGTCCGACATGACCCCATAAACTGTCTTCTACAACGGTCCGACATGACCCCATAAACTGTCTTCTACAACGGTCCGACATGACCCCATAAACTGTCTTCTACAACGGTCCGACATGACCCCATAAACTGTCTTCTACAACGGTCCGACATGACCCCATAAACTGTCTTCTACAACGGTCCGACATGACCCCATAAACTGTCTTCTACAACGGTCCGACATGACCCCATAAACTGTCTTCTACAACGGTCCGACATGACCCCATAAACTGTCTTCTACAACGGTCCGACATGACCCCATAAACTGTCTTCTACAACGGTCCGACATGACCCCATAAACTGTCTTCTACAACGGTCCGACATGACCCCATAAACTGTCTTCTACAACGGTCCGACATGACCCCATAAACTGTCTTCTACAACGGTCCGACATGACCCCATAAACTGTCTTCTACAACGGTCCGACATGACCCCGTAAACTGTCTTCTACAACGGTCCAACATGACCCCGTAAACTGTCTTCTACAACGGTCCAACATGACCCCGTAAACTGTCTTCTACAACGGTCCGACATGACCCCGTAAACTGTCTGCTACAACGGTCCGACACGACCATATCGTGTCTTCTACAACGGTCTGACACAACCATACAGTGTCTCCTATCCCATTTTTAATTTTATTTGTCAGCTTATTTTTCTGTTTTGTTACTCTCTCCAAACTCAAGTTGGCTAGTACCTATCCTCCTTGAGTTTGAGGGGGGCTGTTAATGTAAATGTAAATTACTACTACACCTACCACCAAACCTACCTCCACCACTCACTCCTATCACCTACTACACTCCACCAAACCTACCTCCACCACTCACTCCTCACCTACTCCAGAATCATCTCCTATATAATAGGAATTCTTGTACAAAATAGAAACACAACAATCTTGTAATATAACATATATCAATCAATAATACATCAGTTTATTTTACAATGGTGATGAGAATGAGGAAAGTAGTGAGAATGTTGTTGGTGGTGTTTATGAATGTGATGATGATGGTAGTGAATGCAGCAAATTCACATGATTACGGGGAAGCATTGACAAAGAGCCTTTTGTTCTTTGAAGGCCAAAGGTCTGGCAAGCTACCTCCTTCTCAGCGCATCACATGGCGAATGGACTCCGCTCTTCTTGATGGCTCTGATCTTCATGTAACTCTCTCTCTCTCTCTCTCTCTCTCTCTCTCTCTCTCATGTTCGTTCCCACGTTAATAAATTAGTAATTGTTTTGAAGCAATGGGTTACTCTACTTACAGCAAGTTTGTTTGGAATGATTCAGTTCTGGGAAATGATTCTATGTTCGGCGGATGGAATAGTTTATTATTTGGTTTAGAAATTTTGCATCAAACTAATAGTCCATCCGGATTATTAGTCACATATATGTTGGATTGTTCTCTTTCGAGAGTGTGGGACATAAAATCTAGGATAACTAGGGATTACATTTTTGGCCAATCGACCCCCAGTCGACTAACCGGTTGATCGGGATACCACCGGTGAGTGTTTTTCTGTTGCTAAAACAGAGAGCTTGTGATATTAATTATGCTTAGTAAAATAAAATAAAATTTAAAAATCTCAACCAAAAATTAAAAGAAATTTATATAATTTTGTATTGATGTTCTATTTGTTTAATTTTTTAAAAGTTCTAGTAAAAAAATAAATAAAATAGGATTCATATATGATTTAATAGAATAGTCTAACCAGATATATAATTTCATGACTAAACAAACAAAAGATTCAATATAATAGTCTAATCTAAACATCTAATATCATGACAAAACAAATATAAGATACACATCATTTCTTACCAAATAGCCCAGAGACAATATATCCTAGGACTAACAGTCCGGCGGATTACAATATTATTTATCCAGTCCATTCAAACAAACATACCTTTAGGTCATGTTTCTTTGGACGAACTGAATAAGGAGAGATTATAATCCTTAGAATTGTTAATCCTAAGATATATAATTCGTGGACTATTTAGTTGGATAAGATGTGTATCCCAAGTTTGTTTAGTTATAGGATTAGATGTAAGGAAATGATTATTCCATTGAATGTTATGTTTGTTTGAGATATTCTAAAGAAGGATAAATATTCAAAAGACAATTTTGCCATTTTAAATTATTTACTAAATAATATCAATATTAAACATGTCTTTAATATTTTAATTTTTTTTGGACTAGATTAAATAAAAATTTATTTTATTTGTTTAAAAATTAAATAAATTTATTTTTTTAAATTAAATAAATAAAATATCAATAAAAATTTGTGTTATTTTTAAAAATAAAATTTTTAATAAATTTATTTTAAAAAATAATATTTATTAAATAAAACATCAATAAAATTTTATTTTAAAAAATCAAATAAATAAAACATCAATAAAAATTAAATAAAATTATTTTATTTCTAAATTGAGGGCAAATATGTCATTTCATCATTTTACCTCATATGATAGTTACCTCACCAATTCTATCTCATACCTCCCAAGGATACAATATTCCCACATATGTGGGATTGATAGTTCATCCAGAACCCTAATCCAGCCTATAAATTTACAACCAAACAATGGATTCCATGATCCAATAGACATTGGTGTCCAATACCCCCTCCAATCCTTCCAAACAAACACACCCTTATTGCTTTTATGGAATGATATTATTATAATATTATTATGGAACCAGATTCTCTCAAATCATGTTGTTTGGTCACGATGGATCACACTTTAATAATTAAAATTTTTTATTTTTTAAATCACACTATTTAGATTATTCATAAAAATAAAAATAAAAATCATATTAAATAATCATAATAATATAAATTATTGTATTTGTTTATCAAAAAATAGATAGTTTAGTTTTTAAATAATATTTAGGATAAATTATTAATATATCTTAAGGTTTGTTTAAAATATAAATTGTTCTCGTAATTTTATTTTAAAAATTATATTCCACCACTTGAAATTTTTAATTTTATAATAAACAACTTATTTTATTAATAAATTATTAAATTAATTAACATTTTTTAATTATATCATAAATTTATTTTAATTAATAATTCATGTAATTTTTATGTTATACGGGAGAACAATTAACAATTTTATTTTTTCCATTAATTATGTTAAATAAAAAAATTTGACAAAAAAATATTTATAATTTTTCAAACCATATGCGACAATTCGTATGTTAAAAATCTCAAAAATATATTTGTAATTTATCCTAATATTTATCAATTTATTTTTTTACAAATAAATATCATAAATTAACCTGATTATTTATTGAATCAATTTAATTTTTTCACAAATAATCTCCACTCACAGCAAAAAAAAAAGTTTGCATCATATTTAACAATAATTTTTTTTTTTTTTTTTTTTTTGGGTGGGTAAAAATAAAATTTGTTAGTTTGTACTTACATTTAAGTAAGCTAAGGAGCAAAGTATTTGTGATGATTCCCCTCAGGTGGATTTGGTGGGTGGTTACTACGACGCCGGAGACAATGTGAAGTTCCACTTTCCAATGGCATACACAACCACCATGCTAGCTTGGGGAGTTCTTGAGTTCGGCGAGTTCATGAGCTCTGACTTACAACACGCTCACGAGGCCATTAGATGGGCAACTGACTACTTCCTCAAAGCCACCAGCGTCCCCGGAGTTGTGTACGCTCAGGTCGGCGATCCCTACGGCGATCACAACTGCTGGGAAAGGCCCGAAGACATGGACACCCCTCGAACAACCTATGCCGTGACGGAGAACAAGCCCGGCTCCGAAGTTTCCGCCGAGATTGCAGCTGCTCTGGCTGCCTCTTCCATGGTGTTTTATGGTTTTGATCGTCGCTACTCCAAATTGCTTCTTCGGAGGGCTTCCAGGGTAATTATCTATCCATCTATACTATTATCTATCTATATTATATATGTAAACACTGAATCTTGGTGTTTAAATCTCCAAATTTTCTTCTCATATCACATGGCAGATTTTTATAACGCAAGTAAGGTTTTGGTTTAAAACCAAACCTTGAATTTCATTAAGAACACATTTATCATTTAAACAATTTATATATTATAATATTTATTTATTGTTATTCTTACTTATCTAAATTACATACGCATTGCGTGTGTCACCCGCTAATGTTTAGTTATGAATAGTAATAGATAAATGGGTTTGGCTTCTCTTTAGTTAAGAAGAAGATTAAATTGTTCAGTTTAGCTTAGAAGTTTTCTGATGATTGGGCCCTTTTGATAAGATAAATCGTTTATTTTTTAAATAAAAAAAATTATGTAAATTATTTATGAAATAATCAAATCAGTACAATAATTGTAGCGAATATTATCGTAATTTTTTTTTAAAGGCAAAATGGTGAAATAATGTCAACATACATATTGAATCAATTTGAATTTAATGAAATTTAAAAAAAAAAAATCAAATTAAATTATCAATTTGAGTTTAACGATGGGTCTACCATTAGCAGCTCAAGAGTTTTGGAGATTTTAGACGAAGGGTTGTTTTGAAAATTGATTATTTTAGTTGACTTTTTAATTTTTTATAAAAAAAACATGTAAAAAAATAAAAAGAAGAATTAAATTTTTTGTAATGACTTTTTAACTATTTTAAATTATTACCAAAATAGCTCTAAGTATGAAAATGAGACAAACATTTTCTAACTAAGTTTTTAAAAAGCTTTTAGGGGTTCGTTTGGTTTGCATTTCGGAAAAATTTTTGGGAAATTTTCTCTACAAATAAGTTTTTAAAAGTAATCAAACCAAACAAATTTTCCCAAAAAAATTTCTCAAAACTTGTAAACCAAACAAGTTTTCCAAACAAATCTTCTCACACACACATCAAATCAATCACTTTTTCCAAAACTCTCTCTCAAAATAATTTTTCAAAACATCTTTTGAAAAAAATCAAACCAAACAACTTTTCGTACTTTTTATCTCTAAAACACATCTCTAAAACACATCTCTCAAACACAAACCAAACAAATTATCTCTAAGAATTTTTAAATATTTTTTAATAAATTGAGAGTCTATATGGTCTAATCGTCGAACCGCCTATAGGTCTGCCAAAGCCAAATTGGACGGGATTCCTCACTCCTAATTGAAGAGAAGCTGGACAATTTGATAATACTAGTAACTTTGTATGGGGAATAGGTTTTTTTATTTGCAGATAAGTTTCGAGGATCTTACAATGACGGTCTTGGGCCAGCAGTGTGCCCATTTTATTGTAGTTGCAATGGCTATCAGGTAAGCATTAGCAAAAATCCTACAAAGTTTCAAAAAATGCATGGATACAAATAGTAAGAAATTGGGTAAATTACATCACAAGTCTCTATATTTTGATTATTGTGTCATTTTGATTTATATAATTTCAACTAACTAGATTTTAATCTTGAATTTTTTTTATTTTGTCTCTATTTGGTCCAATTGACTACAGCCATTAACATTTTTTTTTAATGAAAAACGCACACATGAAAAGTGTGCCTTTTGTTTTTTTAAAGATAAAATTATAAATTTACTCAACTAAAAAATAAGTCAACTTTAACCATCTCAATGACCACTTTTCACCAAAAACCATAACTGACGTTATCAATTACACAAAATTGACACAAAATTGAAAAGTAAGGGCAAAATGTAGGGATTACTGGTGTAATTTATCCCATGAAATTTGCATATGATTGAAAAAAAAAATTAGAAAATTAGAAATGTTTTCATTTATGAATTGACTTATTACTAAAAGAAGTAGAATGTGCAACATAGGATGAATTGATATGGGCAGCAGCATGGTTACACAAAGCCACTAAAGCAACTTACTATTGGAATTATGTTACTCGGAACATACATAGTTTAGACTCTGTTTTTGCTGAATTTGGATGGGATGCTAAGCACGCTGGAATCAATATACTTCTTTCTAAGGTAATTATGTCAATGCACTCATTTTATGTATGCAAAATTATTAATCTGATTTACTTTCTTATTTATTTGTGTTTACAGTTTGTGTTAGATTCCAGTCTATTTCGTACAAACGCAGACAAGTTTGTATGCAGTGTATTGCCTGAATCACCGACCAAAAGCGTAACATATTCTCCAGGTATGTATGTTTGCTATATTATTAAGTAGATTAATTTTTTAGGATTAGTTATGCAAAATTTAATGAATGGCCCAAAGGGTTACATCCATATATATATAAAGAGCAATCTTGATTCTACTCAAAAACAATCTTTAAAGGCAATTCATTACTAATCAGGTAAGAAAATATTAAAATTATTAATATCTATTGGAAATAATAAATTTGTGTTAAGCTCAAATTTAGATTTTAGAAAGCAAAAAGAAGCTTTTGAAACAAACCTAGCCAAAATTGAATTTATTTAAAGCTGAAAAAATGTCTATACAGTCTTTTAAAAAATGATAATCGTGAAATTAAATACATAAAATGATAAATTTGGACTAAAGGCTTAGGCCACGATGATGAAGCTGTCAGTTTTGACTGTTGGGTCAATTCAGATAATAAAAAAATGGGTCTTCCGGGTTATTCGATGATAAAAAAATTCAGCAAATAAATTGCCATCATCGCAACCTAATATTATACATGGCATGGAAAAATGTTTTTTGAATTTTTATCTTAATATTTTGTGAATGACAATATATGTGTAATATAGGTGGACTTCTGTTCAAAGCAGGAGGAGGCAATATGCAACATGTAACAACTCTGTCCTTTCTTCTAATCGTCTACTCTCGCTATTTGAATGGTCATGGCAATATATCTATTGTTCATTGTGATAATGTTGCTGTCAAGCCATCTACAAAAACTCTTTTGCAACCCCTGCAGTTGCGACCCCCCTCTTGCCGTCGCAAAAAGTCATTTTGCCGTCGCAAAAAGTATTAGCGATGGCATTAGGAGTATTAGCGACGGTATTTTACCGTCGCAAAAAATCACTTTTTTTGTAGTGAACTGATTATTGTGTTTGTAGTAGAGTTGTATTACCATTCACACAACATGGACTTTAGGGCACCAACTTTTTTTTTTATATTTTTTATCAGCCTTTAGGGCACCAACTTAACACACAATTGACTTTCGATAATCAAAATAAATATAAATAAAAAATTATACTAATGAATCAATGAGATTAGTAGTTATAAGATAGTCCAGGCAAAGCTACGAACTCTTATACTTCATTAAAAAAATCTCACTAAGTCTCCATACAATTCGTAGTGGCACATGGGTATGATCACTCAGGTGATCGGAGGCTCACACAGTGTAACAGTGGTGAGAAAGAGGATACAGTGGCTGAAGAGACCTGCTACGATAGGCAGCTAGGTGAGAACGTAGCTGGTGTAGTGGTTCTTGGTCCCAATGAGGAAGCATTCAGGAAGGGACTTAACTAGTGCTACAGTGGGGATTTGGCGGACACAGAGGCAGAGGAGACGTTGTGTGAGGTGAAGCTCTGCCATGCTAGTGCAGTAGGAGAAAGGGTGGCAATGATGGGGGAGCTAGCACCCTACCCAAAAAACTTCGTTGACCCACTAAGGAGTGCTGAGGAAGTTTTATCTCCTGGCTTCAACAAAAGTCTAAGTGGACCAAAGGATGACTTTGGGCCTGGTATTTCTCTTGAGGTGGATCCAGCCCAACCATATGGTATGCAAAGAGTTCAGGGCCTGAATGCCCTGCCACTAGGCCTATTAGTTGTCATGCTCCAGTCTTAGGCCCAAATGTTACTGCTGGTCCATCTTCATTGGGCACTCTGGGTCTTAAGGATCAAAACCTCGGTAGATCATCTTCTTTCACCCTTAATCCCTTTCGGAAGGTTAAGAAATCTGGAAAGAAGAAGGCTCATGTGGAGGGTTTCTCCCGTTTTGCTACGCTTTATGGCCAGAAAGCTGCAACCACTATTAAACATTCATCCAAGTTTGTTATTCTCAAATCTGCAGTTGCTGCCCTTGCTCAATTAGATCTGTCCAAAGGAAAATCCAGCTCAAGCAGCTTCCTCCTCAAAGAAGCTAAAGCAACCATTAAGTTGGGGGAGCAGCTTGGTATTAATTTTAAGAGTAAAAAAGTTGCTGTGATGGACAAAATTATTGATCTTGAACTTAATGATAAAGTGAGAATCAAAGAAGTGGGCTCGGCAAACCTGTGATTGCTGTGTTCGGGGGCTTCACAGTGCATCATCTGGTCTCTATGAAGCTTCTCTCTTGGAATGTCAGAGGCATTGGCAAGCCTAAAAAGAGGGGTATAATCAAACGTCTTCTGAGAGATAGACATATTGATGTTGCTTTCATTCAAGAAACTAAGAAAGTAATAGTTTCAGAGTTTGTTGCTCGTGGGCTTTGGGGAAATAGAAAGATGGAGTTTATGTCAGTAGACCCTGTTGGTACTACAGGAGGACTCCTCTGCATTTGGGATCCGGATGTTTTCCAACTAAGTGGGAACTGCTGCAACAGGAAGTTTATTCTCCTCTCAGGTACACTCTACAACTCCTTTGATTATGTTTTTCTCAATGTATATGCTCCTAATAATGTTAGTAGTCGATCCACTCTTTGGAATTCCATCTTTAAGCTCAAGGATTCCTTCCCTAGCCCTTGGTGCTTGGCTGGTGATCTTAATGAAATAAGGCACATGGGGGAGAGAGTTGGATGTGTCAGAAGAGATAGGGGAATACGCCATCTTAATGAGTTTACAGACAAATGCGAATTGAGTGACCTGCCCCTTTTTGGTCGGTCCTACACATGGTGTAACTCTCAAGAGGCCCAGAAATGGAGTAGAATTGACAGAATAATGCTCAGTCCAGAATGGTTGGTCCACTTCAAAATGAAGCTCTAGGGCCTGCCTAGGTTAATATCAGATCATTGCCTTCTATTGATGATGGAAGATGAAAGAGATTGGGGCCCTAAGCCCTTCAGGTTTATTAATGCTTGGACCTTGCATCCCAATTTCGCTCATTTTTTCAGTTTCTGCTGGGAGAATTCTACTGTTTCTAGTTGGGCAGGCTTCATAATCCAGCAAAAATTCAGGCATCTTAAGATGGAGTTAAAGGTTTGGAACACTGAAGTGTTTGGTAATATTACCACTAAACTCAAGGCAACAGAGGAGGAATTGCATGCCTTTGACAGAATAGCAGAGGAAAGAATACTGCTTCAATCAGAAATGGTTCAGAGAAGAGAAGTAAGATGTGAAGTGTGGAAACTCTATAGGAAGGTGGAGTGGTTATGGCATCAATAATCCCGAATGAACTGGTCTCTGCAAGGGGACAAAAATACTAGGTTCTTTCATGCTGTTGCAAGTACCAAACATAATAGGAACATGATAAATTCCATCTCAGTAAATGGTGTGTCTCTAGATGAACCGAGCAGAGTTAAACATGAGGTGTTCCTTCACTTCAAGAAACACTTCAATGAATGTTGGGTCAAGAGGCCCGTATTGGGAGGGTAATTCAGATTAATTAAAGACACGATTTCCCATCATCTTGTATCTGGTTTCACTAAAGCAGAGGTATGGGCTGCCATTAAAGAGACCAATAGCAACAAGGCTCCCGGACCAGATGGGTTTAACCTCCCATGCTATAAGAAGTTTTGGAGAATAATGAAACAAGTGTTCATGCAATTCTTCCAAGATTTTCACAACCACAGTAGACTTACTTATGGCATCAACAGCTCGTTGATTACACTTATCCCCTAAGACTCCAAATCCTAATAATCTGTCAGATTACCGACCCATTAGCTTGGTGAGTTCTATATACAAGATTTTAGCTAAGGTTCTCTCGCACAGAATGAAGTCTGTGATGCCCTCCATTATTGGTGATTCTCAGACCGCTTTCATAGGGGGGAAGGAATATCCTTGATGGGGTATTTATTGCTAATGAAGTAGTAGATGGTTGGAAGAAGGCTAATGTAACAAGCCCGCGGGGGGGAGGGGGGGGCCTCGCTACAGTTCGGACTCGATTTGTGTTATGGTTCTAAATCTGAACCAAAGAATCCAAATCCGGCAAATCGTTTTGAGAAAACATATTTTTGAAAGAAGTGCCAAACATGGACTGCTTTGCCAGATACAGAGTCGCCACCTAAATATTTTATTTTTGGGAAATTTAGGAAACCCTGACTCGTTGCCTAAGGCCACGTGTCCGTCATCACCAAAGTTGCCTCGGCTCGGGAACTTGGGTACGATTGGGGAAGGTCACTTCGTGAGCCCCCCGCTCGCCCGACCAAAGATCGGCCTCTACTAACCATGATATCTATTTTTGAAAGCATTATGCGTTCTTATTCCGGTTATTAACCTAGATTTACTATGTGATGCGTACAGCATACAAGTATAGACCAGATCTTCATTAATTAATTAGGAATTTGTATATTATTGGACTGTAATATTCGGACTGTAATATTTTTATTTGGGACTGTATATTTATTCGGACCCTCTGCGCGAGGGCAACTGTAATAAGGTGCGTGTGTGTGTTGTATGTCTTCCAACCCCACGTCTTTCTTCCCTTTTATTTTACCTGCTTATGATGGTTAGATTAGGCATATTTCAATTAGCATACAGTATGACAGCATTTTTGCATCATTCATCTGTATTGCATGCACGGGCTCGGCGCATCATACTAACTGCATTGTATTTTTCAATTATCTCTCTCTTTTT